CTGGGATGTCCAGAGGTGTCAGGAGCCAAGTGCAGAGATGGGTCTGCATAGAAAGCAGCTCTAGCAAAAATGGGCAGTGACCTCCACTGTGAGGAGGAGCTGAGCCTGCTACAATGGCAGCTGGGGTTGGACTGAGGTCTTGAGCTACCTGCTGCCCTCTTGGGCTTTTGAGAAACAAGTACTTCATTCCTTCCTGACAATTACGATGGAGACAGCAGAAAGCAGCTTCAGCATTCAACACCTGCATTGTCTTCAGTATTCAATGCCTGCATTGTCTTCCATCAGCCACTCCCCAGCCCTCAGTTTCCCTCCTTAATGCTGTACCTAACCTGTGCATGGAATGTGTTTTGAGGTCCTCTGTTTTGTGTTTGTATGGCCAGGTTTTGGTAGCAGCACAACAGGAGTGTCTTCTGTGAGAAATTGCTAAAAGCTTCCTCAGTGAATGCCAGCCAGCTCCAAGACAGACCCAGGGCTGGCCAAGGCCAACCTATCAGCAATGGTGGTAGCACCTCTGGGATAACATATTTAAGAACCACAAAAGTTACTGCTTGAGAGTGGTTGCAGATGGAGAGAGGAGTGAGAATATGTGGGAGAAACAGCCCTGCAGACACCAAGGTCAATGCAGGAGCAGGAGGAGGTGCTCCAGGCGCTGGAGCAGAGATTACCCTGTAGCCTGTGGTAAGGCAGCTGTGCCCCCTCCACCATGGAGGGCCATGGTGGAGCAGAAATCCACTTGTAACCCATGGAAGACCCCAGCAGAGCAGGTGGAAGCCCAAAGGAGGCTATAACCCTGTGGGAAGCCTGTGCTGGAGCAAACTCCCAGCTGGACCTGTAGACCTGTGGAGAGAGGAGCCCACACTGGAGCAGGTTTGCTGTCAGGACTTAGGACCGCACAGGGGAACCACACTGGAGCAGTGTGTTCCTGAAGGACTGCACCCCACAGAAAGGACCCACACTGGAGCAGTTCATGAAGAGCTGCGGCTCCCAGGAAGGACTCACGTTGGAGAAGTTTGTGGAGGATTGTCACCTGTGGGAAGGATCCCATGCTGGAACAGGGGAAGTGGCAGCACATCTCATATCAGGAAGAAGCAGCAGTGACAACGCATGAAAAAACTGACCACAACCCCTGTTCCTCATCCCCTGCTCCCTGAGCCTCTGGGGAGAGGAGGTAGAGAATTCAGGAGTAAAGTTACACCCAGGAAGAAGAGAAGAGAGGGTGTGTTTTTAAGGTTTAGTTTTTATTTCTCATTACCCTACCATGATTTGTTTGGTAATAAAATCATTTCCCCAAGTCAACTCTCTTTTACCCGTGATGGTAACTGGTGAGTGATCCCTCCCTGCCCGTATCCTGACTCAGGAGCCTTTTGATATATTGGCTCTCCCCTGCCCAGGGGAGAGACTAATAGAGCATCTTTGGTGGGCACCTGGCGTCCAGCTACAGTCAAGCCACCAACCCTTGCTTGAAAATAAGTTTGAGAGGGAAAAGTATTAGTTTTTATTTTACTCATGGATATATTTTGATCATACTATGGACACTAAAAATATCAATTGGACATTTGTTAATCTACAAGAGAAGTCACTGCCTGAAGGGAGGACAATGTAGGACATTTTGAGTCTGAATAGATGAGAACACTGCATTAGCTGGTGCAGTTTGTTTCTGATCGGTCTCTCTAGTTGCAAAAGACTGTAATTGTACAGTAAATCACTGCTACCTTATTTCTAAAATCCCTGCAGATGATTCCCACCAGACAGACTGCTTTGGTAAGCAGTTCATTTCAATGCTTCACAAAAGCTACAGCAGAGACCAGGGCGAGGACAGAATGAAGCAGAAGTGATTTACTGAGCAAGCAGTGTCATCACTCTGCTGCACATCATGTCTTTGCAAGATAGAAATTCATTGGTTGATCTTACCTTACAGAAAAAACAAGATTAAGTGGTAGAGGCACAAAAAGCAGTCCTGGCTCTCTGGGTCCAAGACATGTTTGCAATTGTGCATTAGACCTTTTTCTGTCTCCGATGGCGTGCACTTGTTCTCAAGGTAGTGTTTTGGCATGCAGCACATCTCGTATCAGCTACCTGCTCACAGTGTCTATTAACTGATTCAATTTCCTAAATAGTTAGGTAATTGAATCTGTTACTTCTAGTTTGCTATCCTCCTTACTCATAAGACCTTCCCTTGTGAGTTACACAAAAATGTAACTTGGTTTCTACTGATGAAAATTCAGATTAGTCTGACTCACACTGTGTAGAGCAGTAACTGGAGTCACTTCTAGAGTCATAGAACTAGAGGAAGCCACCATCCTCTGGAATTATAGAAAAGTAAGTGTGTGAGTGTGAACAAATGTGTGTGTGCAAGTGCACTCCAGGGAGAGCTCTGCAGTACTTGCTAAACAGAAAGACAGGAAGAACTACATCAATATAATCTCAAGCACAGCAAAGGGAGACTCTTTGGCTCTGTTATCAGTCCAGATTAGATCTCTGGGTGTCCATACTCAATCACAGTTAAAGCAATGTTTTCCTGTTGCTTGAACAAGCGCTCTTCTCATCTGGGATTGTGTTCAAGACACAGAATTCTCTTTGGGTTTAAAACTTTATTAATAAATTATTTTTTAAAAAGGCAGTGTAGCTTCTTTACAAGAAAAGGCATATTGCTTGCAGCTATTTGATTTTATAATTTAAAATTTCCTTTTTCTCCACATTTTAATGTCAGCAGTGAGGTATTTGCTAATGGAAGAATCAGCATATCGTTAGGTATTCTGTCTGATCTTCCTCCACCCAGTTTTGCCACCACCTAAAACATAGTAGCAAGCAGCAGCATGCCGTGGCTAGCCTGAGGAGTTCACTGCCTCAGGAGGTGATCAGATCACATCTCTGTCAGGATCTCCTGTCTTCTTGGGAATGAGAAATGCAACTCCTGAAAAAAAAAAAAGTGCATATGTTAAATGCCAAAGAGAAGACACAGAATGAGTTGCACCTCATTTCAAAACTCCTCCTGCAGGTTTTGGCAGTCTGCTGACTTAAAAGGACTGATGCTTGAAAGACGTAAGAAGTGTGCTGAGAGAGCATTTCTGGGAGGAAACAACCCTTCATGGAGAGGATACGCTATGGGCTGCATAGATGCTAAGAATACTGTGCTGTCTTTTCTGCACACAGGAGTGGATGAACACAAGAGACTGCAGTAGCTGTCCTGCCTAAGCCTGGGAATGCAGGCATTGCTTTGGGCAGTGCTAATGGGAAACCCAGGCTCAGCTGAACTTTTTCAGCATACCTGTACCACAGCAGGAGGGTTGTTAATTCGCACATAGCTCAAGAGGACTCATCTGGCAATAGAGCCCATGAGCAAATACCACTATGCAAATAGCAAATAATAATAGTAGCTTCATAAGTGCTCACATTTGTATGAATTTCCTGATGGCACAGTTGAAACCACATGCAATGGTTGCCTCAGAAGATAATGGTAGGAGAGCCAAGATGTAGCATTTCTCCCTGGGCATGACCTGGCTGTAGAGCCCCATCTGTGATGCCACTGACAGCCTGAGGAGCACCAGACAGTGTGGTACTCCACTTGGTTGCAGTGGACAGGGGAGAGCAAGTTGCACTGTTGCTTAGCAGCAGACAGATTTGACTGGGTATGTCAATGCTGCAGATTTGAAAATCTAAATACTTTATGCAAATCACATAAAAGTTTAAGTAAGCAGTATTTGTGTTCAGCAGGCTTACTAGAACCATCTGGTCAGACCAAGTGCCATAAGGACTGCCGTAGACCTCAACTTTTGAGGCTGCCTTGGTGATTTTAATACATGTTTTTTAAATACTGACTTCACAAGACAAGGACAAATAACAGAGAATCTATAACTTCAGAGGAACTGTTCCTTATTTCACATACTTTGCATAAATGGTAGCGTGCATTGCCCACATGTGTTTATACTTCAGTTTTAGGTGGCTTCTTTTGCCTGCTGCTAGGCTATAGTCATGAAAGACAACAAGGCAGAGCAGGAACCAGGGTAGGTCAAGGTCACAAAGAAGTTAGAGGGAAGATAAGATGGAGCTGGGTAGAGGGACGAGAACATACGATATAGGCATAAAGTAAGATATACTTAACCTCAAATGAGATTGGGTCTGTTTTTCTTCCTTTTTCTTGAAAGCTACTTCCTTCACCTAGTATTCATCAACACTTATAAAGGGCCAACAAGCTACAATGGTAGACAAGGGGCAAGCATGTTCTTGCTGTAAAAGTGAGTCAGTTTCTTCTGCAGAGCTCCTTGCTGCTGTGAAAGAAGCCTTTGTTCCTTATATCAGCTGGATGTCAACCTATGCCCTCTGTAATTGCACTAAATTAATATAGTTGCAAATCTCTCAATGTTTCTAATTTACAGAACACTGTTACCTTGCATCTCACTTTGATGAAGTGAGGGTGAATCTGCTGTTTACGGCTTGATTCAACTGGTGGTTCCCTCTGTTAGCAGTGACCCATTAAGAGATGAAGTCAAGCATGTGCACCAAAACACCAGCCCTGACTGAGACACTCCATCAAAATCTGTGTGTCCTGCCTGGGTTTGCCTGTGGGTATAACAAACACAGGGAGAGACAAGAGAAAACTCTGAGAAAACCAGAAGAGGGAATTTGTCCTGATTATCATGATGATACAGCTCTTTATCAACTCATTTTGTCTAGTTTCCCGGCCATCAGCAGCAAAACTCTGCATGTTGCTTTGAGCTAAAGTAGATGTTTCCCTGCTCCTGAAAACTGAAGGATCATTCCTGTAGTAATGAAATAAAAACCATTCCAGACTTTCACCAGGGGATACAGCTGCAGTCCAGTTTACAAGTCTGAGTTCAAAATAAATTCCTAGAAGCCAGCAGAGTTGCTTCAGCTTTTAGGCTGTCTCAAACTTATTATTTCATCACATTTATGACCTTTTTCCCTTAATAATTTGAAGTGATGGCACATAGATTTCAAATGTCCACTTAATTGTCTTATTTTCTCTTTTTGTTTTAAAGTATATTCGGTGCTGTTCGAACTGGTGCTTATATGCTGTACATTTTGATGACCAAAGGCCTGAAACAGTCAGTGTGTGACCAGAGTTTTTACATTGGACCTGTCAGCAAATTCTGGGCATATGCATTTGTGCTAAGCAAAGCACCCGAACTAGGTGAGTACCCTCTCTCTCTTTCTCTCACTGTGCATATTTAGAGCAGAAATGTCCATGCAGGAAGCACAAGAAGGGTCTCAGTGCTGTCAAAATCTCATTTAAGTCTTAGAAAAACTCAGTAAACATAAACGAAGCCCAAACTGCATGTTTTAGTCTCTAGAGATTAATTCCAGCCTGGCTAAGTTAGAGCAATGTGCAGTTGAATAAGACCATTCCCAGCCCAGGAATAAACTGCAGTGATTATACATAGCAGGGCAGTCAAGAGGTAAAAGCAACCTGGTACATACTTCTTCCTGAGCTGCTTGTAGGTAAATAAGAGTAGCATAATCGTCAGTCACTGACCCCACGGGTACAGAAATGAAGGCTGGGCTATAGCAGCTATGTCAGCAAGAAGCTTTGAGTCAGGTTCTGCCTCCATTCTGTAGCATTCATTCTTTAATACACATCTAAGTATACAATTAGGAGCAGTAAGGTGCTTCCTCCCTAAGCATTGAAAGCTGGGGCTGTCTGCTTCCTCTGAGTAGAAACAAATTTCCCATAATATCTCTAGCTTTTCCAGTCCTGATTCTTATGAACTTCTATCTTTCCAACAGCTTTTCTGGTAAGGATATTTATGATAAACGTGCCAAAGGCAACTTAATAGTCTTAATGTGTTCTCATTCACAGCTTATTAGTGTAAGAAAGGATTGCTTTAATGGAAAGGAGGAGGCAATGATTTAGCAGCCCTCCAGCTTTCATTTTGGAGGATGTTCTCACTAAACCTCAAAGGGCTGCAGCTATCACTGTGTTCAGGTGTACAGCAAAAATAAGACTTTACCTTTCAGTGGATAATTTGATTCAGAAAATTAGAGCAAAGAAATTCATCAGCATGAAAACTAGAAAGAGACAGACACCAGTTGCCTTGCTATGTCAGAATCCCTTGTTTTCCTGCTGCTTAAATTACTGCAAACCCAAAGAAATGTAGTTGTTAAAACTGGGAGACATCAGCTAGAACTACACAGCAACAATAAATCGAACATATGATTACTTATTAAAATGTGAATCAACATCTTCAAGCTAATGAAGTAAACAGTAGCATTATGGCTCATTATAGACCTTGTGCAGATGGTGCAGCTCTGCTTCCACCCATGACTAATATTCATGATATAGATTTCCTTAAATCTATCCTATATAAATCTATTCCATATAAATCAAAATAAGTCCCCAGATTCAAATCTCAGGGATCTTTTTGGAAACACTGTGCCTATAACAATGGAAAACAAGTAACATGCATATATCCGTATATCTAATTGAGATACTCATTGCAATCACAAAAAGCAGAAGGAAGAAAAAAAGCAGGAAAGAGGAATAAAATTTACTTTTCTACGATAGTAAGATAAATTTGCCTGAAGAGGATGTGCATTTCAACAAAACTCAAATTTCTTTCTATAAGAAATTTATGTTATTGTCTGCCTCACAATAACATACCTTTCAGTATTGTGGGTTGTGTATGCAATAACCTTTTGCATATTAGCTCAAAAGGCTCTACTGATTTTAACTGGGTTAAGTTTCCATGTAGACATTTGAATCAGAGGACAGTGTGCTGCTTCCTCTTCAGATTTTCTGCTCTCTATTGAACTGTATTTCTCTTCCAGTGACTGTATATAATGGACAGTCTCACAGTCAGAGATGATACACATACATCAGCCTACCTCACCTCAGATTTTCATGGATTACGTTTGCAGCAAAGGGCTGCCATGTAAACCTATGGAGTTTTCAAATGGGGATTATTCACTCTGGAAAATGTAGATACTCTGGTTTTCTAAAAATTGCATAGAGATTAGGAGCCAAACTGGCTCTCGGATCAGACAAGCTCTCAGATCTAGAGCTGAGGTGTTTTTTCTTCCTCCAAGGTAGTATATACTACAGCAACAGCAAAGGGAAGAGAGCACTGCATTAATTGTAGAATTGTTTAATATGTTTCTCCATTCTTCCCCCCCCCCTTTTTTTTTTTTTGTTTTGTTACAGGTGATACTATATTCATTATTCTTAGGAAACAGAAGCTCATCTTCTTACACTGGTACCATCACATTACTGTGTTACTTTATTCTTGGTATTCCTACAAGGACATGGTGGCTGGCGGCGGCTGGTTCATGACCATGAACTATGGAGTACACGCTGTTATGTACTCTTACTACGCCTTGCGGGCTGCTGGCTTCAGAGTCTCACGCAAGTTTGCCATGTTCATCACCTTGTCGCAGATCACTCAGATGTTGATCGGTTGTGTGATCAATTACCTGGTCTTCTCCTGGATGCAGCAGGGCCAGTGCCATTCCCACGTGCAGAACATCATCTGGTCCTCTCTCATGTACCTCAGCTACTTTGTGCTCTTCTGCCATTTTTTCTTTGAGGCCTATATTGGCAAAACCAGAAAAGAAAGGAAGGTTGACTAGTGCTAGAAACGAGAAGCCATAGCTCAGGGTCATCAAGAAAAAAAAAATTATAAGAAAAAAAAAGGCACAAGGAAACATATATGTATGGTGCAGCTAAAACTTGGCAGCTTAGGGAAAGTTAGCTTGGTTTAACCCAGTAAGTTTATGATCCTATCATGGTGAGGACTCACTGAATTCTACTCTATCTCAAAGGACTGCTGATGAAAGACAACTTCCTTCTTGTACCTGTCTGCTCTAGAAAAGAAAGGTGGAAAGAAAGAAGGGGGAAAAAAAGAAAAGAAAAAAGGAAAGAAGAAAGAAAAGAAAAGAGAAGAAAAGAGAAATGGAATAATGTTGAGGGGGGGGAAAGTATGTTAAATAAGCAGTGTGTTTCCCCAGGGTGGAGGAGAGACTTTTATTTTAAAAAAAAAAAGATTTCTAAATCCTTTCTAATAATTTCTCAGCATAAACTTGAACAAAACAAAGCAGAAGTGACAAAAAAAATCTGTCTATGATAGCAGTAAGATTGCAGAATTAAAATCTTTTCCATAGAAGGTTGATACCTTTAGCCAAAATGAAGCTGAAAAGGATGTTTCCTGCATGGAAACTTACTGAACTCCACACTGTGGTCATGAATGAAAAAGAGAAGAGATTGATTTCTCTGCTGTGTACTCTGTCAGGAGAGCAGATCTGGGACACAGAGTCACCTCCCTCAGAAGGTGGAAAGGAGCAGTACTTTTACAGGAGTTTAATGTGAAAAGATGCACTGTTGCAATACATATCTCAGAGAGTGCATTTTCCAAGTGCATTTTTCAGTAAAAGGCAAGGAATTTCTACAGCAGGATAAGTCATAGAGGGTTAAATCAATCAATCAATATTTGCTAAATTAACAGGGGCTAATAGCAGAGGGATGTTCAGGAAGGAGAGGGAGACAACTCCCCTAATGTGATTTTTAGGAATTATCCGTTACTCTTAATTTAGCCTGCAGCAACACTGAATTAAATGGGGGAAATCGGAAGAAATCCTAGTTAGTGAGAAGAGAGTGATATATCTGCCCACTGTTTTCAGAACAGAGCCCTGTGGTACAACATGGATTCCGTGTTTTTGTGGACGCAAGGGTGCCTGCCTGGGTTAGAAGAGGTGGCAGGACTGCACGACATTGGGTATCACTGTGCTTCTGCATCTGCCTCCTGGGCAGTGCAAAGATGTTTAAAGTGCCCTCCTCTGGTCATGTGGAGATACTACTACAAAACATACTTGGAATAGGTTTTTCTTGAGATTTGTATAGGAAAAATTAGTCTAAACGAAGTAATTTTGCTGCAACAGCTTGACTCTAAAGTCCAGAGAGAATTATCCTTCATTAAACATATATGTATCTCTGCAGAATCTGTACTGTAACTGACCACTTAAGAGGACATTCTTTCTTCTATGAAGTCAGCTACAGATATAAGGAGAAACATATTTCACTCTGAACCTTAGAGAGTTAGTTGAGAACAGCCATATTCTTTCAAAGACAAGTAGGTTGCATTATCTGTGATATTTCAGTCCTTACAAAGCCAAATAAAATGTGTAAAAGTTCCTAGTATTTCAAAGACGCAAGTATGTAAACTTGATGTTAAATGTGTTAATGTAGTATTCTAAATTGTAACAGCTAGGTAGTTTAACTAAAAAATTAGAAGAACTAGATCAACAAAATAGGGACTGCTGTTCTGCATAGGATATACACACACCTATAACTACACCCATATACACATTCTGTGAATTGTCAACAAGAAAAAGCAGCCCAGTGGCAGAGAATCACGTTTCCTGGCTAATGCATAAGATTGTCATTATCTTTCTTGCTTTAATTTGAGATTGTACAGTACAAAAGGGTTTTCTTAATTATGATTTTTAGCTTTAATTGTGCTGTCATTCATGAAACAGAGCTGCTTTAGTATCCTGTTAAGAGATGACAAGGGCTTTCGGTGTCTCATTATATACAAAAGAAAAACAAATAAAGTTACATTCCATATTATGTGAATGGTCTTACAAATCAAAAGCCTATTCAGGCTAAAATCATAATTATAACAAGCAGAAAATGAGTTTACATTTGTGTTATTTAAGTTATTGATGTGCTGACGTTATTTTATCGTACAAAACATAGCAAAATGTGATATGCAGTAATGAAGCTATGATATTCATTAATAGGACTACTGTATACGTGGAAATATTAGACAAAACCAATTAAATGTGTAAACCATTTTGTTATACAGCTTGGGAGTAGATAATTATAATGCTAAATAAGCCTTTTTCCTCATGTTTAATTTTGCCCTGGCTAAAAAGCAGGTTAAAAAGACCGATTAAAAGTGGAAAAGGCAAAATTAAAGTCAAGCTGCAATTAGCTGATAAGCATTGGTAGAAGTCCACCATGGTGCCATTTAGACCCTCAGTCCTGTGTGTCTTGAGTTCTTCAAATAGAGCAAGAGGGGATGGAACTGGTCCAGTGTCTGGAGCTGAAGCTGGAGCAGAAGTCTTGGACTCTGTGAAGTCAGTGGAGGCTTTGCTTTGCTTTGAACAGAGCTGGCGTGCCTGACTGCCTTTTGTCTGAGCAGAGGGGAAGGAACTGTGCACATCTCCTGCTACTTTGAGGCTTATGACTCATGACTTAAAAACCCCATAAACTTTATCTATAAGAAGTGATATCGCAGCATGGCAGGGACTTGTGGCCTCAGTGTAACAAAAGCAGAAAACAGGATGGGTTGCAAACAACCACCTACCATGTTTCGTACTCTGTTTTCCTTAATGGTATAAAAAAACCCCACACCTCTCTGTGCTGGATGGCAATGCTGGCAAATGCTGACACTGACTTCAGTGGAGCAAGAATTTCACTTGCTCCTTCCCCACCCTCCCAAAGCCCTCGTAGGTACCTCTGCACCATTCCCAGCACCTGCTCCTCGATGTGCCCACTACCCTACTAGCCAAGGCTGGGTGGGCAAGGGCCAGCTTCCTTGCTGCCTGGGAAGCGGCTCCAGCGCAGACACCACCCCAAGTGACCTCCTCAACAGACAGTGTACATGTACCCCTGGTGTGCAGGGGTTACTCAGCACAAATTCAGTGGGCACCCTGGAGGAGGACTAGGCTGCAGACAAGCATACCTGTAGGGAAGGGGCAGCAAGATCAGACACGTAAGGTACAGTGGTAAATTAGGGTACATTTATTGTCACTCTGGGAATTGGCTGTCACAATGCCATTTCCCTCAGGAGATGACATCACACATGCATTTACACAGGTCCTATGGCCTTACTATTCCATTAGGCTTTTCCTCTGAGGTTTTCCACTGAAGTCAAAGGTGTAACTGGCATTAAAGAATTTGAGGATAAGACAAAAGCAAGTTACATTGTTTTTCTTACTTCCCCCACAAAAAAACATACATGCATAATATTTAGACATCACATTTAACCCACTCACATGTACAAACACTGAGCCAGTCAACCCTAATGTAGTGACACCTCAGCAATTCTCCAGCTGTTCCAACCTATGAGCCACAAGATAATTGGGTCTTATTTATTTCTGCTGATTTGAGCCTTGGAGTCATGCTTTTAAGGTTTTTTGCCCAGTACCAGAACCCTTTTTTCTCTAATTGTTTTAAAGAAAGTTGTAATTCTGTTGCTTGCACACATGCCACGGGGAACTCAAACTTTATATAAATTTACCAAGCATTATGGGACCTGTGACAGCCACAAGAGACGCTGGAAATGCTGTTATGGGATCCACTATTGAAGTCAGGAAAGTTACACTGGTGATAAGGTCACTCTGCCAGTGTCGAACTCTGTGTTTTATGTTTTGATGCATTAATTTAACGTACTGAAATAAAACCAGAAAGGCCGGTATGGATTTATGCTTAGGCAGCTGCCAGCTGAATTTGGCCCTTCCTTAACACTGCTTCTGTGTAGTGAACACTTTAAGGAAAATATTTTAAGCTAGTTAGCAAAAGAACAAAAACTTGGGTAATTCTGCTGCCTCTTTAGATTGTGCCTGTGATGAGAAGGAAACCCCTTGTTCTTGCAGACCTTCTGTAACTCAGTCAAAAATTATTTATGTCTGGGCTCACTGATAACACACAACTAGGAACAGCTGGCTCCAAAAGAGACCTCTCACCAGAATCTCACATTAAAATAATACAAGATAAGGGCCAAAATGTGCAAAAGGAATCACTCGAAACAGCCAAGCAGGGTAGTAGGCATAAAATATTGAGCACAAGTTGCAGGAGAGGCAAGGAGGGAGACATTCCATATGCCAGGACAAAGTATTTCCAGGCTGAATGCTCACTCCTTTCCGAGATGAGGAAAGGCAACATGGAAAAAGAGTGGGCTGCATAACACCAGGTGCCCCGGATGAGGTGGCTGGAGGAATAAGGCTTGTGTGTAGGGATTCCTACTGCAGAAGTTAATTAGGAAGTGGCTCCTTCAGTGCAAACATGGGTCTATGGATTTGTTTGTAGGAACATCCATCATCTAATAATTTTTTCAAGTCCTGAGTGTATTTTATTTTTCTCTCCTGAAAGTAAAAATCTGTGACATTTTAGTTGAAAGCAGTGGTACCTCAGGGATCAATATTCAGGTGGCTTCAGGCAACAAAGAGCATAAGAGACCAGTTATTATGACCACGAAAGAGCATTGTAAGCAGTGCGAGATATACTGCATTAATGCTGTAATAGCTTTAGTAGTTGGAGTCTATCCTGTGGTTCAGAACCAGTAGCAGAAGTATAACAGCTTTATATACAAATCATATACACACTCATACTTCAAGTAATAAAGATGGCTTTGATCAAGGAATAAATCAAAGCAGATTTCAGACTATACTGCCTAAGTTCAGGACTTGTTCCAGTGCCTACTGAAAGTGAGATTGTTGGTGAGATGTCCAGTGACTTCAGGGAGCTTTACTTCAGCCCACTGGAGACCACTTGCAGACAGTGATGCAAGACCTAAATTCCCTTGTTTGCTTAGTTGTGACATGAACCATCCGGGGCATTACTCAGGCACTGACATGGGTCTTCAGTCATATTTTCCAGCCTAGCGTCAATGAACCCTATAAAAAGGAAGAATTACAACTCAGAATTGTTGGTGGGTTTTCACTGTTTTATTTCAATACATTTTCCATTCCATTTATTTTATTAAAAGCAAGCAAAAGACAAGTCCCTGATCCTGCAATCGTCAACGCTTCACTGCAGTCCATGCAGCAATACATGGGCACAGAAACCTTTTGCTTACAGGGGTAAAGGCAGGACCAGGATCTTATTACTGACTTAATTTCTAGCAGAGCAAACATCACAGGGTAGCATTTGATTTCTTAAATTAAATCAACTGTACCAACAGAAATAACATTGGATCTGCACATTATTTTGACAGCTAAGGGGAACCAGGGCCCTCCCCAGGACATCATAATGTAAAATGCTGCATGAAGAGGGGTTAGAGTGTATTTCCCAATGGGTACAAAGTAATACTCCCCTGAAAGAGTGACCTTCCTGAGAAATCTCACATCTGTCCAGTCCTGGACAGCTTCAAAAAGGCCTGTCTGCTGAAAAAACCCAGCTCTGATTGACTTATCTGCTTTCTCAAAAGGGCCACTACATGCTTGAGGCTTTTTGGAGCCTTAAAGCTTAAGCTAGATTTATATTCAGAAAAAAAAACCTTAAATATGTGTACAATAACTAGAAGAAATAGTATGATAAATATCTTTATTTTACCATTTTCAAATGGCTATTTCATTACATAAAAGGAAATTTTTATTTTTATTTTTTTGGGGTATATTGATATTCCAAATAAAATTTTAACTTTTGGTTCAAATAAAATGTCTCTGTGTTTTATTAATCCATAACATCCATTTCATTCTCTATGTTGCTACCAAGTCAGCTATTGAAAAAGAGAAGCGGTTCTCCAGGTATGAGACTACAGCGTGACACGTCACTTCCCAGCAAATCTCTACCAAAGTTCATATTTTTGTGTACCACACAGAAGCATCACATGGTTTTTTCTTTATGTGTATGTCACAGGCACCTGTATAATAGAGGAGGAACCCAAAGTGTAAATGTTTGGACTGCAGCATATCCCTGCTGAAACCCCACCACTCTCCCCATGGACAGGCTTACAGCCCCACAACAAATAACAGGTTTCTGAGCAAAGAGAGCACAAGCTGGAGGCAGAGGGAAGAGGGTAAAGCAGAGTGGGAAGCCCACAGTGGGGATGCATGGGGCTGTGAGAGACCCTGGTGACCTTCCTGAGGCCTGGTTTGGGAACTGGGCCAAGGAGCAGCCTCAAAGTGGAGAAGCAAGAAGAGGAAATTGGATATACATCCCAGGAAGTGCTGCCTACCATCTTCAGTATTATCCCAGGGAGAGTGGAAGAGGGGGATTTCCAAGAGAGTGTAGCCCAGCAGAGGGGGATTTCCAAGGTAGGTACAGCTCTGCTGTTGGGAAGAATTCCAGTAACTAGGGAGAAAAAAAAAGTAGAATGTGGGGAGTATAGGATTTTTTCAGGCTTATAGCAGAAACTATATTTCCTTGGCTCCACTACACACCTCTCTATGCTTCTGGCAGCTACCTGTGACCCAGGCTAGCTTACAGCTATAGTTGAGGTAGGAGTGGAGATTAAGCATGTAAATAAATCCTTATTTTATTAAGATTCTGTGGAAAGCAAAGGAGTACAGGTTTTGTGAATGTACTGCACAATGCTAGTAACTTTGGCAAGGTTGTGAGTAGGGAGAGTCACTGTCTATGCCCCAAGCAGAGAAATTAACTCTTCTTTCTAGTTTCCTTTGCCAAGCTGCCATGACTTGCAATGACCTTGTGCTAGAAGTCCCCAGCAGAATTGATCATCCTGACATCCCACAGAGCATGGGCTGCTGCTTACCCAGAAAGATGATATCAGATGAAAGAAACTGTGTGATGCTTGTCCTTTAGCACTATGTGGCCAGGTACATATCCATCACCACGTCACTCCAGCAACAGTCTGTTGCTATCCCTGCAAGAAGAAACGTTTTGGGTCCAGAGAAGATGCTAGGCATAAATGACCTAAGTTGACCCCATGCAGGAACACAGCCACAGTGGTGGGGAGCAGCAGAGCCATAGCTTACACTCTCCTGCCAGCTTGTCCAGGGAGTACAGTACAGCCTTACCTTCAGCTACACTTTGTCCCTCATGCATAGCAATTGCCTCAAAGGCAAAGCTGAAATGCTTGACAAAGCTGACAGTAAGTCCGTGCAAGCAAACACAGA